AGGCTCACTCGCTCACTCATCGTATACAGACGAAGCCCAGAGAAACAAGAGATTATATGTCCGTGATCTAAGAGGATACATAATGTGGAAATATTTCTACTGCCCTTCCTTCACAGGAGCAAAACAGCATCTTTGCCATCTAAAGCATGTCTGAGCATTTGGCTAGCTGTGTGGAACAGCGGCAAGGCTGGAAGAGACCAGCCAGGCTATCGTGGCATTGCCTGCAAGTGCTGGGAGGAGAAATAATGTTGGCAAGTCTCAGTAATGCTTCTGTTCTCAGATGTGTTCCCTCCCTGGTCACATCTCCATCAGCCTTGCCAGTGAGCAGACTCCAGGTCTCCAGGTCACAAGCAAAAGCTCCACCTGGTATATTTGAACAGGGAGTACAGAAATGCTAAGAGTATCAAGGGTGGGCACAGAAATACATCTTTCATTACCAGGGAAGGATCCTGCATCCTTCTCTCTACAAATAACTCCCTGAGAGACCGTGACAGCAGCCAGCATTCAATATTTTACAGTCTCAGACTTCACAACTGTACCCCAATTTTAGTAGTCGAAGCACGATAAGGCTGAACACAGTTGCTGCACCATGCTCACACCTTGGCTTCAACATCGTGACAGAGATGGCAGGAAAGCACAGGTTGCAGTGCTGGACGGCTGCAGAAAGTCCCACAACTCCTGTCAGATCACTGGAAAGCATCCTCATCCAAAATGCACATCACTTGCCAACTGTAACTGCTCTGCTCCCTTTTGCCCATATTCACAGAATCATAGATTCATAGAATGGTTTGGTTTGGAAGGGACCTTAAAGATCATCTAGTTCCAACCCCCGTGCCATGGTCAGGGACACCTTCCACCAGACCAGGTTGCTCAAAGCCCCATCCAACCTGGCCTTGAACACTTCCAGGGATGGGGCATCCACAGCTTCTCTGGGCAGCCTGTTTCAGTGCCTCACCACCCTCAGAGTAAAGAATTTCTTTCTTACATTTAATGTAAATCTACCCTCTTTCAGTTTAAAGCCATTACCTCGTGTCATATCACTGCATGTCCTTGTCAAAAGTCCCTCTCCAGCTTTCTTGTAGGCCCCTTCAGGTACTGGAAGGGTGCTATAAGGTCTCTCCCTGGAGACCTGATGGGCAAAAGCCTTATGAAAAATCCTTACCTTTAGTAGGGTTTGAACACTAATAAAAGCAACATTTTCACTGGACTGAGTCCTGGACAACTTTTGTCCCATCTGCCTGTCTGTCTGTCCATACTCCACTACATGCTATCCAGAAAGTCTGAGTGCCACCCAGCATCCAAACCATGCCCGGACAACTGGTTACTTCTCTCTGGATGGGACACAGCCTGGTAGGAGTTCCCAGCCAAGCTGCGAAATCCATCTTGTTCAACGGGGACATGTTTACCTCCAACGGTGTTCTTATCCAGTCTCTCTATCATGCAAATTATTATAATCTGTACTGTTTAGATATGGAAAACTCCCAGGTACTTTGGGTACAAGCAAATACACAGAAACAGGCTGGCTGAGAGGTAGGTGATTCACACTGCGAGTTGTGGCCTTCTATTAACTTAAAAGAAGGCAGCTTTCTAGGATACTTTCCCCATAGTCCATGCAGACACGACTGTGTGAGCAGCAAGGCAATAACCAATATCTAGGTTGAGATTTGGCCTGTGATATTCTCTCCAGACTTTTAACTCTTGGTAAATTTGCTTTAGGGGAAAAAAAACCCAAAAAGCAACCAAGAACAAAAAGGAAAGCACAATAGCACTTTAAGAATGCTTTTATTTGGACTGAAGTTGGCTTTTTCCCACAAAACGGCCTTTCCTTACTTGAGCACCAAAGTCTATGTTTTGTGGTCTACTGAGCACTGGATCATAGCTGGTATTTAAGGATGGTGTTTAATGCTAAGATTCTACTAATCTTCTGAGGAGAGAATCCCATAACCTAAAAGCGGTTATGGAATTAAGTCAAAAGAAGAATATCATCCAAAGGGAAAACAGTGCCGAGACTGTGAAGAAAGGACTGTGCATGGACATGGGCTGGCAGGAGGGAGCTGCTGATGGGCGAGGACGAAGGAGACAGCACAGCTCCTCAGGGCATCCGCAGCAGGACAAATCCCAGCCACTCTCCCACAGCAGGCGCTGATCCTTCTCTTTCTTCTGGCTGTTTTACACCGGTGTAAACCTACCAGGCAGCTTGAGGCTTGCTTTTACAAGGGGCAATAGCAGGAGACGAGGCTGCTCTGAGATCTCCTCCAGCTTGCCACGAGAAAGCACATGCTTCTCTGCTTTCAAAGACTTCCCAAAGCTCCCTTCAGTCTGGCAGGACTCTCCTACTGAAGGGCATAGGAATCAGGCTGCTAACGTCTGAAGTCGCCATAATGCAAAAAAAGAAAAAGAAGAAAAAACATGTCCCCATGTGCAGGTCAGGTTGTGAGGGCTGGGCTGCCGATGCCTCTGCTTTCTCCTCGTCCAGCTCTTTGTTTTTCACCGCTTTGCTTTCCCGTCGCTCCGTGCCTCTCACCGTATGCCCATTCCCACGTTGCTCTTTCGCTCTGCCCCTTCCAATTCCCGCCTGTGTCCCAGCACCGCTCAGCACCGCAGGGCCCTCCGGCCGCACCGGCGCTTCGCTGGAAACCCAGCCCGTTCCTTCCTCTTGCTGAGGTTCACTCCAATGCCATCCTGCACGTACGCATGGAGGAAAACAGGGCTTCACACCCCTCCCTGCAAAAAAAAAGCAAGCCGTGACATCAACTCTTGGGCTTGCTACGCTGATTTCTGGGTGTGTAGGGAGAAACAAGCTTTGCCAGCAAGAATCTCTTTGGTACAGCTGCCTTAAAATAAGAACTGCGCTTTTTTTGGTGGTTTTGAAGTGCAACATCACTCTGAGGACTCCGCTTAAGGAAAAGCAGAGCAAAGCAAGAGGGTATGAGAGATCCTGAAGAAGTCCTGTCCCTTTACCACGGCAGAGCAACACTGTTGTAAACACAGTGGGACAGAGCAGAAACCCCTCCTGGGGGGGAATATTCTCTTTTCATCGCCCTTGGCACTGGAATAGCTGCAGGATGGAAGGAGGTTCTGGCAATTTTTTTGCAATTTGGTGAATTGCCTTGGCAAGGAAGGCAAGTGGGGCCAAAATGACTCTGCAAACAGCTTCTGCCATATCTACACATCAAATTGTTTCCTCTCCCTGAGACCTAAACATCTGGGAGACTCTTGCCTCCCCTTCTTCTGTGGGATACGCACAGGATCACTGTCTGGGTCAGGCAAAGTTGGCACCACCTGAAAACACTGTCCACCTGGGAGCAAGATCACTGCAAAACACTTCCATTACATCCCAGCCGGCCAGGTGAAATACACGATTTTTTCAAATAGGCAAAAAAAAAGGGAGAGGGAAGGCTGGAGACCTTGGGGAACAGTGCCTGCATCCGCCGTAACCCCCAGCTGCGGTCGGCGTTCTGCAGACAAAGGTAATTCTGCGCTTCAGCAGCTGCTGTCAGACCCCAGCCCTTCGCTTGCCGCGTTGCTGTTTGACATCCCCGTCTTCCTGTCGCACGAAGATAACCTTGACACAGCGAGCCATGAAGCTCATGAAAATGTGCAAAGCCAGCGTAGCCTTTCCAGTTGCGCTGCGAGGCTTCCCGCACGTTAATCTTGTCCTCTGGAAATCTTCAACAGCAATTCAAAATAATCCTTTTGTAGAATTTCTTTCATACTGAAGAGGAAAGGGCTGGGAACGCAGATCTATAAATATCTTTTGGGGATGTTCATCCCTCCTCTCCTCTCGTGCACTCTGCTCAGCGCTAGGCTGCAAGAACTCCAGTGAAAGTCTGTCTCCTGCTCAAATAAAAGCTGCTTCTGTGAAGTTCCTACATACACATGTCAGGCGACACACAGACACCACGCTTTATCATAAATGCAACGGGACACGAGCCCCTTGGACTGGTTGGTTAATATCAGCACTGCGCTTCGCAAACTTAAAGTGCCACAGAACCACCAAATATAAAGTACATACACACACGTTTGTGTGACTGCCTGCCACCATATCAGTCTGCTTCGGTATCGCAGCCTTGCCAAAGCCTGACAAAACCCCAAAGGAGAGCATGGACAGAGCTGGAAACGCGACGTGCGACACGAACAAAAGGGCAACGCTGCAGTTTTTTAAATGCTGTCTTCATTTCGCGTGGCCAAGAGAATGACACCATGGGAGCAGTCAGAGCGCTGCCTCAAAAACCCCTCCTTCTCCATGTTTCCCACGCTTAGAATCCTAGAATCATTAAGGTTGGAAAAGACCGCTAAGATGAGCAAGTCCAATCATCAACCCATCACCACCAGGCCTGCTAAACCACGTCCCGAAGTGTCACTTCTACATGTTTTTTGAACACCTCCAGTATGGTGACTCAACCACCTCCCTGGGCAGCCTGTTCCAATGCCTGACCACTCTTTCAGTAGAAAAATTTTTCCTAATTCTTCCTTTTCATTCCTGTCTCCATACTCCATTGGTCCAAATTCAGCTCAAAACACAACGCTTGAAGACAGAGCCCGTCATCCCTCCGGGCACCCCCTGTGCAGCCTCCTCCTTACCCTCCATGTCTCACCCACTGCTCTCCCGAGCAAAATTCGCCTTTTTGTGCGAGGGCCGCAGCGCTGACATCCCTGCGGCTGCACTCCACCCTCGGGTCCATTCCTGCAGTGCTCCCGCCTCGCCGGCGAGCCTCATGTAACAGAGTTTGTGCACCGGGGCTCGCCTTCCCCAGAGCGGTTGTTTGGGTTTATCTTTATTAAATTCCAGCTGCTTAAGCCTGGAGTGTTGCTGCAATGTAGCAAGACCAGTTTGAATCCGAGCCCCTCCACTTGGATGCTGGAAACCCATCTCCAACCTGGGCATACCTGCA